AATTTTATTTATAGAAAAATATTTATTTATAAAAAAATTTATAGAAAAAATATTAATGTCATTGTTTGCTAATAATGTAGGAGAGTAGTAAGATACAGAGTTTTTTAAAGCTTAATAAATAGCTCTCTTTGCATTGGTGGTTCTGGTGATAGTAGTTCATTTACAGGGACTTTCTGACAATTTATGAGAGAAAGTAGAAGGCAGAAGGAGTCTTTTAACCATTGTTGAATTGAAGGAAGTTTCTTGATTTACACCTGCCACAGTGATTCTGGTTAAGAAGTTAGGTGGCTCAGTTTTCTTTTTAGAGGTTCTTAAGTGTTAAGAGTTTTTCAGGAAGAAGGAATAAATCAGTCTGTGTAAATGTATAATTTGACACTTTAACTTTTGGACTTTTGTAAAGTTAAGTTTAAGCATATCATAATTATCTTTGAATAAATCTACCTATTCTAATGTGTTGTTAATTTTATTTAAAGCTCTCACATGTGAAAGATGCAGTTCTTATTACAATGTTATATTAATAAAGTACACTGAGAGCATCTTTTAATTTTTTTAAATTACTTCTACATTTGATAAGACATTAAAAATTTTATGTATTACATTATTTTTATTTATTTATTTATTTATTTTGCAGAAATAATTTGAATTTTCTGATGAGTTCTTGGTGGCCCAACCTTGAAGATCTTTATGAAGCAAATGTTCCTGTATATAGGTTTATTCAAAGACCTGGAGATTTAGTCTGGATAAATGCAGGGACTGTACATTGGGTTCAGGCTATTGGCTGGTGCAACAATATTGCTTGGAATGTTGGTCCACTTACAGGTATTTTAAATAATACATTAACAAATTTTGTAAGATTCTTCCCACTGTAGGTATTGATTTTCTAGTAGAAAGTAATCCACTAAAAATTGGAAGATTGTGTGTCCTAGGAAAAATCTTACTTGTCAGTAGAGTAAATTGAAATTAAGGAATGATGTTCAAGAACACGTATTTAAGATAAGAACAAATTTATCCTCTTAAGCCAGAGAGGATATACTTTTGATATTTTAGAGCAATGTGTATTGTTTTGATAATGAAGACCTTATATGGGGGAAAGCAAAGCAGAATTGTTATTCTTTTGAATTTTTATTTTATTTGGTATATCATCTGAGTAGCCTTATCATGTCTGACTATTTAATATATGTAAAGTGAAGGAAGAGTATGGCCTTTGGAGCCAGAAAGACTTGAAGGAGACCTTGGCTCTAACTTGTTAACCTTGTCACTTTAGGCAAATGTTTTGAAACTCTCAGGTCTTTGTTTCTTCTTAATCTACAAAATGAGGCTTTGAAAGCATGAAGAGATATAAGATATAAAGAGCCTACCACAATACATAACCATAAGCACTTTTTACATGATAAATATTTTTAAACTATAATTATCATAAAACAGTCTTGAGTGTTGAGGTTTTCAGAATCGATGTTAAAGTTATCATCTAAGAACTGATAATAATTATCTCATATCTTTTGTTACTTTGGATTGCTTTATAACTTCAAAAAAATTTCCCTCCTAGCTTGCCAATATAAATTAGCAGTGGAACGGTACGAATGGAACAGATTGCAAAGTGTGAAATCAGCAGTACCCATGGTTCATCTTTCTTGGAATATGGCACGGAATATCAAAGTCTCTGATCCCAAACTTTTTGAAATGATTAAGTAAGTGCTTTACAAAACTACTGTAGTCTTTCTTTTTGGAGGACCTAGGGAGTATGATGAGCTGTGTTAACAATCGATATTTTTCTCCTCAGAGGATTATGTTTTTTGACATCAAATGATAAGATAGTCCAGAGTCTCGGCAAAAATGTAATAATAGAATTCATATATTAAAAATATTTCTTTTGTAAATGCTTGGAGAGAAAAGGGTGTGTGTGTATGTGTGTGTGTGTGTGTGTGTGTATGTGAGAGAGAGAGAATATATGTATATATATTCTTTCCAAATATTCAGACTATGAATAAGTCATACATGATTTTATATTAAATTCATATATCTATGCTTTCTCTTAACCTCCGACCAAACTCTTTTTTCTAGTTCTAATATTGGAAGTCAGCCTGAAGCAACAGGGAGTGAGAATATTACAATATAAATATTCATAGTGAAATAGTGATTTTATCAAAACGGCTAAATTTTGATAGCTCCAATTAAATCTTCACCTTTCTTAGCTTCTTGAACCATTCAATACAAATTTAATGGATTAATAATTTGCCTATGTATATTCTAGTAACTTCTCATTTATTAGCCTAATTTTGTTCCATTTATTTTATAATTATGTTTAGAACTCATATTCCAGACAGCGCCACTTAGCAGTATTTCTCCAGCCGGTGGTTTATATACTTTTCTTTTCCTATCCCCTTCACTATCACCAATAAAAAATAATTCTGGTCATTTTTGGAGAGTTATTAAGTAAATAATCTTAGTCTGTTTATTTTTATCAACTCCTTTGCTACAGCCTATATATAGTCATATATTTTATGAATAGAGGAGAAAGATTTACACTGTCTCTGAAACTTACTAATTAGTGTCTTTAAAAAACTTACTAATTAGTGCTGGCATAATATAAATAATTTCATATCTATATTCAAAGTTTTATTCTAATGTATATATCTAAACAAAAATTGTGAGGCCAAGGTAATGTGTACCTGTGCACTGTTATCTAGTGATTCATTAAATGTTTATGCATGTTTGAAATTTTAAATTATAAAAGTTTGAAAGAGCATTTAGTCAAAACTCTAACCCAATGTAATAATTTCTGTTAAAAATTCATTTTGTGGTCTTTTGGTAATTTATTGCAGTCATTACCTCAACTCTAATTCTTAAAGATACAGGCTGGTTGAAAATGTACTCTTTATTCCCAGAGCACTAGATTTTATTAGGATTTATGCAAATGAATCACATTTAACAAGTGTTTGAGAAACACAGACTCTATGCCAGACGCTATTCTTGGCAATGAGGATAGGTACTGTAGTGTATAAAACAAAATCTCTGCCTTCATGTCATTGAAATGCTAGTGAGCCAGCCAGCCAGCCAAATTCCCAAACAGATAAATAAGTTATTGGTAAGTAATAAGTAAAATAAAATATGATAATACTTATTTTCTGGTTGGAAGTGTAGAGAATGCTGCTTTTGTTAAAGTGCTTCTGAGAGCATTATATGTTTTTATCTAAATGATGAAAGGAGGCAGTCATAAGAACATCTGGAGTAGAAACATTTCAGGCCTCCAAAACAAGTAAAAAGGCTTAAAATAGAACAACTTTGGTATATTAATGGAACAGAAAGGCCACTATGACTATACCAGAATGAAGAAAATAGCTGTGGTGATAAATTCACATGAGTGATCAGGTAAATTAGAAATGTTAGGACATTTAGATATTAATTGAGTGTTCAGATTACTATTAGAAGATTGAAAGAAGGAAGGGCTAGATTCTGATTTGCGTTTAAAAAATATGAATTTATTACTTTGTGGAAAATGGATTGCAAGGTGTAAGGTTAGAAGTAAAGAAAACAGTTGGAAAGCAATTGACAACAATCCAGATTAACCTGAGTTGAGCAATGGAAGTGGAAAGAGGGGTCATACTACAGACTCTTGTGAAACTATTCATAGAGACTGTATAGTGCAGTAAGGAAAAAGGAACAAGGAAAAGATGGTTATAATGTGTTCTTGCTTGTTGTCTGTTAGCTGAAAACATCTCTCACTTCTATAATTGTTCTGTACTCTCATCATTCTTGACGCCCTTCCAGACCCTTTCCAACTGGTGAGCTCTCTCAGTATTTAAAATATGGGATACAGAGACTTGCCTTAAGTGAACTGGGATGTTCCTATTTTCTGTGGTGGCAGTTTAAATTGCATTGCTTTTCTTATTGCAGTTGTCTTAATGCTGAACTTGAATATACAAATTCAGGTTGATTTCCACTTAAATTACTGAAAGTAATTTTTGTCCATATTTTCCTTACGTGTCATTTTTTTTAAAACCTAAGTGAATCTATGCATTTATCTGTGCTTTCCTTTCACCTTAAGTTTATGTTTGTTGTTTTGATAACTGCTTACACAATATGAACTTGTTTTGAATATTAACTGCCTTTATTATAATTCAAAATTCTACTTCTTTATGGTGTAATGTGTAATTAACACCTCTTTTTGTCATTACTCTGATTGAAAATGTTAACCAGAGTCATTTAGCTACCTTTAAAATGTACTGTCTTCGGCCAACATTGATTATTTGGAATATCTTTCATTTAAGAATACTTAAGTACTAATTGAATAGAAAGAGCTGAGCCAAGCCCTGGAATTTTTAAAGTATTCTATACAGATTCCTGTCTTGATATATTTTTCCAGAAGGGAGAGGTGATTCACAGTGGAATTAGGAGGGTAAAAGCACATGGATTGAAAATTTAGATTTTAAAATTTAATGATTATGCCATTTATATCTCAATAAAAAATAACATTCACTCTTTTTATCTAATAGAATCTGAAAAGGTTTTTGTAAGCTATTTTAAAAAGGAAGATATTTTGACTGAAGGACAAAGATATTTAGCAGGAAAAGAGTAGAGTGATATGGGAAAGAATGAGTCAATATCACTGGTTTTTCATGTCATATAAGTTCTAATTGTCCAGTACTTGCAAAGCCTATTATTAGTAAGTTCTCTTCATGTGCTTAATGGAAATTTTCATATTTACACTAGTCTTAGTTAGAAGCAAATTGTAAATTTTCATATTTACACTTAGTCTTAATTAGACTAAGTGTAAATTTTCATATTTACACTTAGTCTTAGTTAGAAGCAAATTGGCGTTTTAAAATCCTATATCTATTCAATATGAATTGTAACACATCTCTTCAGTTTGGGGCAGTAGCAAGACAAAGTAGCTGGATAGAATTTTAGAAAAAGCTTTTGGAAATGTAGAACTTCAGAGAGCCATTAAAGCAGAAGCTAAGTGACTGGAGAATATTCTACCCAGTATTTTATGATTTCCTTGAGAAAAAGATAGATAGTCAACAGTGAGGAATAGAACTTCAGATAATCTTTCTACTTAAGGACAGGAAAAATAAAGAACTAGGAAAGAGAATGAATATAGAGAGGCAGAAGATAATGAGAAAATATTGTTACAAAAATAGGATGACATTATTTTTCCCCCCATAAACATCATTTTGCTGTGTAATAATAATATCTACGTATCTACTTTGATTCTGAAATCTAGTACCCTGTCAAAAAGGAAGTAGTATGAATTTAAACTGGTTTGTCAGCTGTTGATTTTTAATAAACATTCTCTTTCTTACAATACTTCCTTCTGCTTTGAGTAATTTGATATATTAGCTTCAAGTATTTTCTGAACTCCTCCATCCACAGGGTTGTGGCTTGTCACTTTCCTATATCCCTGAAACTACTCTTGTTGAGGTAATCATTGACCAACTATTTTAAACACAAAATGACACAACTGTAGAGTTCTTTAGAATCTGCATTATTTTTTATTTGTTTGTTTAATTTAATTTATTTGGTGACATTGATTAATGAAATCCGGTCAGTTTCAGGTGTACAATTTAACAGTAAGGCATATATATATTACAGTGTGTGTTCACTGCCCATAGTTAAATTTCTTTCTCTCATCACATATTTGATCCTTTTTACTCCATCTACCTACCCCTTCTTCTGTTCCCCCTACCCTGTGGTCACCACTAGTCTATAGTTTATGTTCATGAGTCTATGCTTGTATGTCCTGTTCATTTGTTACTTTTAGGTTTATATCCCACATATAAATGATATCATGTGGTTTTCAGCTTTTTCTGTCTGACTTATTTCGCATAGTATGATTATCTCGAGATCCATCCAGGTTGTCGCAAATGGTAGTATTTTACTTCTTCTTATGGCTGAGTAATTAATATTTCACTGTATATGTGCCCCAGCTTCTTTAGCCAATCATCTGTTGTAGGACACTTTGGTTGCTTCTTTGTTCTGGCCACTGTGAATGTTGCTGCTATGAACTTCGTGTTTTCAGGTTTTTTGGGTAAATATCCAAAAGAGAGATTGCTGGATCATATTTTAATTTTTAGTTTTTTGAGGAACCTCTATACTGTTTTCCATAGTGGCTCTACCAATTTGCAGTCCCATCAGCAGTGTATGAGGTTTCCTTTTTCTCCAGCATTCGTTATTACTTGTCCTGTTGATTACAGCCATTCTAACAGGTATCAGATGGTATCTCATTGTGGTTTGGATTTGCATTTCCTTAATAACTAGCGAAGATTAGCATCTTTTCATATATTTGCTGGCCATTTGTATGTCCTCTAGGGAGAAGTGTCTCTCCAGGTCCTCTGCATATTTTTTGATTGGATCCTTTATTGTTGTTGTTGTTGCTATTGAGTTGTATGAGTTTTATGTATATTTTGGATATTAGGCCCTTATCGGAGGCCTTGTTTGCAAATATATTTTCCCATTCAGATGGTTATCTCTGTCTTGTTGATGACAGTTTCTTTTGCTAAGCAGAAGTTTTTTACTTTGATCTAGTCCCATTCATTTCTTTTTGCTTTTACTTCCCTTGCTTTTGAGGTCAAATTTATAAAATCCTCTCTAAGTCCAAGGTCCTTGAGCTTAGTTCCTATGTTTTCTTCTATGCATTTTATTGTGTCAGGTCTGATATTTAGGTCCTTAATCCATTTTGAGTTAATTT